GATTTCCGCAATATCCTTTTTGTACTGTGGGAACCAGAACTGCACACAATATCTAAATACATTCTCATCAATTTATTCACTGGATTACTCCACCATTTCAGCTGCTATTAATCTTTTGATATATCCCAACATCTGGGTTTGCTTTACTCACTGCCACAGAGCATTGTTGGAAGAGCTTCAATTTATTATCAATCAGGAACCCCAGGTCCTCTTCATTTTCAATACATAACAATAATAATCCTTGCATTTGATATAGCGCATTTCACGTCTTCTCGATGTCTCAAAGCGCTTCACAGGATATACTGTAAAGGGTATTGACTGTATATTTGTGGGCGAAACGCGGCAGCCAATTGCACACAGCAATGTCCCACAAACAGTCGTGGATTGAAGTGACCAATTTATTATTGTTTTTGGTTTTGGAGAGATTATTATTAGGCTCTGTGTGGAGTAAGGAAACTTGCCCAAGGTTTCGCCCTCTGTCTGGAATTGAACTCAGGTCTCTCGCTTGCAAACCATTGATCTACAGGACTCCACATATTATTTTCCTCCCTTTCAAGTAACAGTCCCTTCCAGGATTTTTTGTCCTCATGTGAAGTACTTTACATTTCTCCACATTGAATTTCATCCGCCACCGTTCTGCCCAATTCCCAAGTATGTTTGTTCAAATCCTCCTGTAACCTCTCTTGTTCAGTTACGCAATCTACCACCTGCGTTAGTTTGGTGTCATCTGCCAACTTAGCCACTGCGCTTGTGACTCCCAGTTCCAGATCATTTATAAAAATGTTAAACACAAGTGGTCCCAAAACAGACCCTTGTGGAACTCCACTGGTAACATTTTCCCAGTGGACATTGTACCACCACCCTCCGGGTTTTTCTCGTCAAACAGTTACCTATCCAATGTAATATAGCTGTCCACGCCAACTCCCTGTTTGTTGGCCTCCCCAACTCTTCCCTCCACAAGCTGCAGATCATCCAGAACTCTGCAGCTCATGTCCTTTCCCACACCAGACTCCATGACCCCATCACCCTCCCCCTCCCCCGGCTCCACAGGCTCCCCATCCCCCAGAGGATACAGTTCAAAATCCTCATCCTCGCCTTCAAGACCCTCCACGGCCTTGAACCTTCTTACCTCTGGGATCCCCAAACACCCTCCCAACCGTCCGCTGAGCCGCCACAGCCCTGCTTCACGTCCCCCACCCAGTCCGCTGCACCATCAGAGGTACCTGCCCGTACCCTCCGATCCTCTGGCTCCGGTCTGCTCCACGTCCCCCGCCCCAACCGCCCTACCATCGGTGGTCGGGCCTTCAGCCTCTCAGCCCCAAGGCTCTGGAACTCTATCCCCCAGTGCCTTCGCCGCTTCCTCCCTCTCCTCCTTCAAGGCCGGTCTCAAAACCTTTCTCTTTGACCGAGCCTTCAGCTCCCTTCTCAACTCTCTACCCCTCCTCGCTCCCTCCCTTCCCTCCCCTCACCCTGACCATTTCCCCCCTCCTCGCTCCCTCCCTTCTCTCCCCTCACCCTGACCATTTCCCCCTCCTCGCTCCCTCCCTTCCCTCCCCTCACCCTGACCATCCCCCCTCTCCTCGCTCCCTCCCGTCCCCTGACCATTTCCCCAATGCTCGGGTCATGACCCAACTGTGCAGTGCCTTGGGACGTCCTCCTGACGTGAAAGGCGCTCTATAAATGGAATCTTGTTGTTGTTGTTGTTGTTGACTTTCATCCATTGCATCCCACTGAGTGCAACTCCATCCCACAGTCCCTCCAACTCTCTCCCTCCCTCACCTTGTTCAAGGTCCGTCTCCAGAGCAAGTTTTCTGACTGAGCTTTTGGTCACCTAATATAATAATAATCCTTGCATTTGATACACAATGCAAATACAATTGTGGAGTCCTGTAGCTCAGTGGTTAGAGCACTCGCCTTACAAGTGAGAGACCTGAGTTCAAGTCCAGTCAGGGCCAAACCTCGGGCAAGTTTCCTTACTCCACACAGAGCCTAATAATAATCCTCCAAAACAAAACAATAATAAATTGGTCATTTTCAATCTACGACTGTCTGTGGGACATTGCTGTGCGCAATTGGCTGCCGCGTTCGCCCACAAATATACAGTCAATTCACTTTACAGTGTGTTCTGTGAAGCGCTTTGGGACGTCCTCCTGACGTGAAAAGCGCTATATCAAATGCGAGGATTATTATTAATAGAAAAATACAGTCCCACAGCCCCCAAGGCGCTGGGATGTCCTCCCGTTGTGAAAGACACTATACAAAGTGCCTTATCTTCGAGACGTCCGAAAGCGCTTCACGGAATACACTGTAAAGTGTAGTGGCTGTATATTTTGTGGCCGAAACGTGGCAGCCAATTCCACACAGCAGCGTCCCGCAAACAGGAGCTGTGGAGAAGCGCGTAGTCTGACTCCAAGGGAGATGCAATGAGTGTGATGGCCTCCAGGGGGCACAGTCACCCTCTCAGACCGCGGCTCATTGCAGGCAATGAAACAGCGCCACCTGCTGCTGGGATTAAATATAACCCAAACAACAATAATAATAATCCTGGCATTTGACCCAACGCCTTAGCACATCGTCGAGACGTCTCAAAGCTCTTCACAGGATACACTGTAAAGTGTAGTGACTGTGTCTTTTGCAGCAGCCAACTGCCCACCGCAGCGTCCCACAAACAGTCGTGGATTGAGTGACCACATTATTTATTTGAAGGGATTATTACCCCCAGAAAGTGATCCATCGTTCGACTAACAACCGGGTTCCTACTGACCACCGGTAAACAGAGGTGTGTGGAGTGAGGAGACCGGTCTAAGGGTTGGCCGTGTCCGGCCCATAATAAAATAAAACCAACATCTGAGAGACTCAAGAGTCCCATCACTCATTGTCAAACATCTCAAAAGTGCCTTATCACCTGGAATTGCCGTCAAGTGTAGTGACTGTGTTTTGCAGGCGGACGCAGCAACGTCCCACAAACTGCCATGGAGTGAGTGAGCAATTATTTTTTTGGGGGGGGGAATTGCCAGCCCGGGAGAGATGGACAAACTCCCTTCTCTTTTCCCGACAGCCAGCGTCGCGGGATCTTTAACGTCCACCTGAACGGGGCACAGACGGGGGAGTGAGGTTTAACATCTCAACCACAGGAAGATGTCCCTCACAAAATGGCGCTCTCTCCCCTCTTGATTCCTGCAGAAGAGACAACAACACTACAATACAACACTGCATTTACATATCGCCTTTCGCATTGGGAGGACGTCCCAAGGTCCTGGACAGTCGGGAATTCTTTGCCTTTGCCACCTCTCGGTTGGACTACTCTAACGCCCTCCGCGCCGGTCGCCCATCCACGACCATCCATACAGCCCACATCACCCAGAACTCTGCCGCCCGCATTCTCACCCGCACCAAACCCCACTCCCGATCCCCCAGTCCTGGCCCCCCCCGTCCCCCCCCACCCCCGCTCCCCGCTCCCCCCAGTC